TTCGTGTTTAAAGAAGGAATAGGAAGATATTTGATTAACACTAAAACTACCAAACCGGTCAAATGACCGCTCCACAAGTTTCTTATTATAAGGAACACATTTTGTTAAAATACATTTCTTGAAATCAGAATTGATTTTCATCAAGATAAAGAATAAGTGTGTGTAGTAATTTATATTTCGTCGTTTGTTTATTAATTTTTAACTTCATTTTTAATTTCAAAATAAGTGTACATTATACGCCGGTAGGTTTAGTGTTAATTTAGTTTATTCATTTCTCTGTTAGCATATTTATTTGTCTATTTATTTATTTATTTATCTACATTAGCTTATTTAGTTGTCTATTTATTTATTTATCTACATTAACTAATTTATTTGACTATTTATTTATTATACGATGCAAAGTGGATGAATGTATGTATGATAGGTGGAGGAACGTTGGATCGGTCTGCGCATGCGCGACATGGCGCCACTATGGCGCCAAGTATGACGGAGCGTAAAACATTTATAAAACCTTGTAAAATATATAGAAAATACTTATAGCACACACACAAATGCTCAGAGATATTTTACAATATTTTAATTTGGGTTGGAAATTGTTGAATTGTACCGAATTGGATCACGTTGAATCGAAATATGTCGAATTGAACCGTGCTGTGAATTGGATTGCGTCGAATTGGGTCGCGTGGAATTGAATTGTGTAGAATTGGATTGCGTCGAATTGAATCGTATCGAATTGGATCGCGTCGAATTGGGTCGCGTGGAATTGAATCGTGTAGAATTGGATCGCGTCGAGTTGGATCGCGTGGAATTGGATCGCGTCGAGTTGGATCGCGTGGAATTGGATCGCGTCGAATTGGATCGCGTCGAATTTAATCGCGTCGAATTGGATCGTGTCGAATTGGATCGCATCGAATTGGATCGCGTCGAGTTGAATTGCGTGGAATTGAATCGCGTAGAATTAGATCGCGTCGAGTTGGATCGCGTCGAATTGAATCGCGTCGAATTGGATCGCGTCGAAATGGACCGCGTCGAGTTGGATCGCGTGGAATTGAATCGCGTCGAAATGGATCGCGTCGAAATGGAACGCGTCGAGTTGGGTCGCGTGGAATTGAATCGCGTAGAATTAGATCGCGTCGAGTTGGATCGCGTCGAATTGAATCGCGTCGAATTGGATCGCATCGAATTGGATCGCGTCGAGTTGAATTGCGTGGAATTGAATCGCGTAGAATTAAATCGCGTCGAGTTGGATCGCGTCGAATTGAATCGCGTCGAATTAGATCGCGTAGAATTAGATCGCGCGGAATTGGATCGCGCGGAATTGAATCGCGCGGAATTGAATCGCATAGAATTGGATCGCGTCGAATTGAATCGCGCCAACTTGAATTGTCCCGAATTGCATCGCATCGAATGAAATCGTACCAAGTTAAATCGTCCCAAACTGCATCGCGTCGAGTTAAATCGCGCCAAATAGCATCACGTCGACTTGAATTTCAGCAAATTCTATCACGTCGAGTTAAATCACGTCAAACCAAACCGCGCCGAATTAAATTCCATCAAACCACATCGCGTCAAATTAAATTTTCCCCAATCGTCAAACCGAACCTTGCCAAATGTAATCTTGCCAAATTAACTTTCTGAACTAACAAACATATACCTTGCCACAGCCTATTAACTTCAACAGCACCATTTCCTTAGCATTTCGATCTAATCTCTCTGTCACGACTCAAAATGGTGGCCAACACAAAATGTCGATCCAGAACTCGACGATTCGATATCTAAACTCGAGCAGACCTATTAATACGAGTCTCCTTTTTATCGTCGACGTGACGCTTCCTCCTCAAGCTCTTTGCTCGCGTAAACACGAGCTTGTTATTCGAGGAATATCCCCGTCAGATAGAACAACAGGTTTCTCTTTGCCAAGATGTCGTTGATCCTTGCACCTACAAACTCATCCTTACTCATACACTCGGGAGGTGGTCATTCAAAATTGCAACTAAATTTTTGAAATTTAGTTCAAAGTAATTAGTGATCTTGCAGCTACTGGGAGCTGAGGTATTGCTTTATTGGGAGCTGAGGTATTGCTTTATTGGGAGCTGAGTAGATGGCAACTGGAACTCTTTAACTGTGTAGTGTAACAGTTGAACTTCTTTAACAGACAGATACATATTTTCTTAATTTGTCCAGAGCCTTGGAGACATTCTGAAGTTTACACTTTGATATCTGGGATTGATATTAATGGTGGACAGAGAGAGTATCAACCTAAAGAGAGAGTATCACTCTAAACATACGTCATCAATATATTTTTCTCGTCCTTGTCAATTTCTCAGCTCCAAACTATAAGTAAATTACAAGTAAAAAGTGTCTACCTCACCAATTTATTTCTCTCCTCCAACTGTCCATTTCCCAGCCCTAAACTATAACTAAATCCCAACTAAAAAATGACCACCTCACCAATATATTTCCCTCGTCCAACTGTCAATTCTCCAGCTCCAAACTAAAAAATGCCTAACTCTGATCTTTGACTAACCTCTATCTCACGATAGTTGCCTCTCGGGTGATACAGTTTTCAGATAAGTTTGTAGGTTCTACATAGTTCACTGTAGATAAACAGAGCAGTGGGAAACGATTGGAAAACCGATATAATCGTTTGAGTGATACGTCGAGTAGAGAAGTTGATCTATCATCGGCAAATCGGTTGTAGCAACGGGAAACGAGGACCGTTCCACTCGGTTGACTGGTAAACAGAATCATTATGTCATCTACAACTGACCGACACGATAACGACGACACTGTTACCCAGTCCTCTGTTGGTCGCTCACGTGTTGACCTTTCTCCCCTCGTGCGTAAATTATTTTCGTTTCTACGGCCGCCTAGTTCGGATTCATGATCAACAGATTTCGTCATACGATAAATTTGGTGTTTGACTGTTTGGGTTTCTGACTTTGGATACTTTGGAACTTGTGGAGATTTTGGACTTTTGAGGTTTAGTGTGGTTTGGAGGTTGGGGAGTTTGGGATGAAGGGAATTTTGGAAGGTTAGGGAGGTTAGGGAGATTAGGGAGACTAAGGTTTGGGAGGTTAGGGAGGTTGGGGAGATTAGGGAGACGAAGGTTTGGGAGGTTAGGGAGGTTGGGGAGATTAGGGAGACTAAGGAGGTTAGGGAGGTTAGGAAGGTTAGGGTGGTTGGGGAGATTAGGGAGACTAAGGAGGTTAGGGAGGTTGGGGAGGTTGGGGAGATTAGGGAGACTAAGGAGGTTAGGGAGGTTGGGGAAATTAGGGAGACTAAGGAGGTTAGGGAGGTTGGGGAGATTAGGGAGGTATTTGGAAAATAAGGTTGTGGAGTATGGAATTTTTGGCTTTAGAGAGTTGAGGACTTTGAAGGGTTGGGATTTGAAGACTTGGGGAATTTTAAGGTTTGTGATGGTAGAATTTTGGGGCTTTGAAGTTTTTGTGATTTTGAGAAACTGGGATCTTGGACAATTTGGGATTTTGAAAAACTGGGATCTTGGACAATTTGGTATTTTGAGAAGTTGGGATCTTAGACAATTGGGATTTTGAGATAAAATTTTTGTATAAATTTGACTGGACTCCATAATTTTTGTACGAGACAGAAAGTTGAAAACGGGATTAATATCGTTAAACGAAAATTAAAATCAAACGAGACGAGATCCTTGTTCAAGCATCATTTAATTATTGCGTAAACCGTGGACGATCGTTGCGTCGCGATGCTTTATTAATTCCGGCAATTAAACTGCGAGCCGACACGGCGTTCAAATAAATGCAGGCTAGACGATACGCTAATGCAACGACACCGAGCCGCTAATAGCTGGTTAACAATGATAATTCGCTGGTTATCGCAGCCAATGTGGTACAACATAGATAGATCGTAGGAAAATGGGGTGGGTAAACGAGTCGTTTCGTCGACAAGCACCGTTGACCCCCTTCGATCGTTAAATCGGTCTCAATCCCAAATCGCTATTTCATTCAAAAGAACTTTTATTATTTACTTTACTAAGTTTTTTTAATATTCATTTTTAATCTAATTAGTCTTTATTTTGAGGGACATTGCTATTTTGGATTTTGGGGTGCAATTGTCCCAGATTTCAATTTCCCAAAGTTCCAATTTTCAAAGATCCCAATTTCCCAAAGTTCCAGTTTCTCAAAGTCTCAATTTCCCAAAGCCCCAGTTTCCCAAGATCCCAATTTCCCAAAGTCCCAATTTTCCAAGATCCCAATTTCCCAAAGTCCCAATTTCCCAAGATCCCAATTTCCTAAAGTCCCAATTTCCCAAGGTCCCAATTTCCCAAGATCCCAATTTTCCAAGATCCCAATTTCCCAAAGTCCCAATTTCCCAAAGTTCCAATTTCCCAAAGTTCCAATTTCCCAAGATCCCAATCTCCCAAGATCCCAATCTCCCAAGATCAGTCCTAATTGTCCAAAGTCCCAATTTCCCAAGATCCCAATTTCCCAAGATCCCAATTTCCCAAGATCCCAATTTCCCAAGATCCCAATTTCCCAAGATCCCAATCTCCCAATCTCCCAATATCCCAATTTCCCAAAACTCCCAATTTCCCAAAGTCCCAATTTCCCAAGATCCCAATTTACTTGTACCAAAGTGTGGCATCTCTATAAATTAACTTCACTTAAACCCATCACTCTTTATAACCTATCAACGTCGATTCTTCCCATCTCCCATGAAATTTATTTTGAAAATCCCATCATTATTTCATTCCTATCCCCCGATCACATCCAAATTTCGTGCTTCATTCACAAATTCCTACAATTACCCTCATTTCACGTAGAATCTCAAATTTAACCCCGGTGACACAACGTTATTTTCATTTCGCATGATCTCGTTAACGATCATCCGAAATGAAAGGAATCTAAAAAAGCTCTTTCTTCTAATCAACCACGAACAAATAGAGTTAACAAGAACCGCAGGAACGAAATTCTGCGGCCGCAATATCGTAACGTTATTAAGAGTGATCATCGACGTTGCAGAACTTTTTCCGCAGACGCGAGGGAACTTTTCACGGACAATGGGAACAATGAGGAACAATTTCGCGACGGTCTTTGTGCTTCTCGTCCTGATGCTCTCAACGAGTCAATCTCTTCCTCACGGCTACAAAAATTCACCCAACAGAAACAGTTTGGAAGCTTTGGCTCGTGATGCGAGGTCGAATTCGATCTACAATTGCTTGTTCATTGATCGGAATCTACCGATCTGCGATGTCGAACGGTGAGTACTTTCTTTTGGTACTTGAGTTACTTTCATGGTTTAATTTGATAGTTGGTAGTTGATATTTTGATTCTTAGTATTAGATACTTAGGTACTTGGGTGCTTAGGTACTTGGTATTAGGTACTTAAGTGCTTGATATTTAGTATTTGGTACATTTAGTGGTCTATGTACAGAGAATTTGTTTTTTTACAAGTACAGAAATCTTCATTTGTAACAAGTATACAAAATTTCATTTTTTACAAATTCAAATTCATTTTTTACAAGTTCAAGTGTTTCAGAGTTTCTGATAGTTCAATTAGTGTAAAATTCAGTCAAGAGGTAGACTAACTATTTGATACTGAACTTCAAGCTTGATACAACCCGTACAATATTGAATATAATCTTGAAGCTATTTGTTACAACCTCAAATATGTAACTGATTCTGAATATACTTCTTCAACCTTGAATCTGATACTGAACTTCAAGCTTCATAACATCTGTACAATATTGAATTTAATCTTGAATATAGTTGTGAAGCCTCAAAGTATGTCTGAAGCATCTGATACTGAACTTCAAACTTGAAACGACCTGTACAATATTGAACATGATCTTGAAGCTACTTGTTATAACCTCAAATATAAAACTGATAATGAATATACTTCTTCAACCTTGAATCTGATACTGAACTTTAAGCTTCATAACATCTGTACAATATTGAATTTAATCTTGAATATACTTGTGTAGCCTCAAAGTATGTCTGAAGCATCTGATACTGAACTTCAAAGACAACCTCAAATATAAAACTGATTCTGAATATACTTCTTCAACCTTGTGTCTGATGCTGAACTTCAAGCTTTATAACATCTGTACAATATTGAATTTAATCTTGAATATACTTGTGTAGCCTCAAAGTATGTCTGAAGCATCTGACACTGAACTTCAAGCTTGAAGCGACCTGTACAATATTGAATATGGTCTTGAAGCTACTTGTTATAACCTCAAATATAAAACTGATAATGAATATACTTCTTCAACCTTGTATCTGATGTTGAACTTCAAGCTTGAAACGACCTGTACAATATTGAATATGGTCTTGAAGCTACTTCTGACAACCTCAAATATAAAACTGATAATGAATATACTTCTTCAACCTTGAATCTGATACTGAACTTTAAGCTTCATAACATCTGTACAATATTGAATTTAATCTTGAATTTACTTGTGTAGCCTCAAAGTATGTCTGAAGCATCTGACACTGAACTTCAAGCTTGAAACGACCTGTACAATATTGAATATGGTCTTGAAGCTACTTCTTAGAACCTCAAATATAAAACTGACATTCAACATATTTTTTCAACCTTGTACAATTAACAAGTTACAAGATTTACATAAAGTGTACCGCTTTCCAGGATGTTAACATCGAACGACGAGATAACAGAACCATCATACGAATCACCCAGTGGTATAGATTTTGACAAACACCTTGTGAGACGCTCGAGGAGAAACGCCGACGCTTCCGCTGCAGAACGCGTCGTAGTTTACGCCATAGAAGGCTGTATACCATCCAGGTAAAACATTTACAGTTACAGTTTAGTATAATCTTGTAGGAACACGAAATTTTCACCGTATCGTTTCAGCATACCCATCTCGTTACCTTCCTGCGACGGAATCTCCTTGGATAAAATCGTGGATGTGCAAAGAATTCGTCCGTTCGCTGTGAAGGGTGTGAAGCAGCCGTCGTTAGTGTTTCCAGAATTCAATTACCGCAGATGGTTGCGGATGATGACTCGATTGCAAAATCACATTTCGTCGAACAAACAGGACGTAAGGCATTTTCTGCTTTGTGTGTCGTTTATTTTTATGAACTATATGGAATATCGTTCTTTAACCTTCAACATTGTCTGAACTGATTCATTTTTTACTAATTTTAAAAACCTTGAAACCTGTGCATTAGTTTATTCAATTTCATAATTGTTTTTTTAACTTGCTGACATTTCAAAAATTAATTTAAATACGTCACTTCTTTGCTTGTTTGAATGAAACCTAGAAAGTCGATGCAAATATATAAATAAAATTTATGAACGAAATATATGAACGAAATATATAAACAAAATATATGAGCAAAATATATTAGCAAAATATATTAGCAAAATATATTAGCAAAATATATAAGCAAAATTTATAAGCAAAATTTATAAGCAAAATATATAAGCAAAATATATAAGCAAAATATATAAGCAAAAT